TCAGTGATTAAGGCTCGAACTCACCGACCAGAAGGTCTGTGATTCGAACCAAACTTCAAAGTTTCGGCCGTCTAGACTTGGGCAGTATCTCAGCCCTTGGGCTACCCTCGGGTGGCATGGCATCTAGGCACGGGTCGGACGTTAAAGCTGAAAAATTACTATTTTTTGGTAAATATTGGGTGGATTGCTGAACTGTTCGAAATCGTTCTCATTAAAGTTTTGGTCAATCCTTCCCCGATATGCTTCAAAAAGAATTTGTAGCAGGAGACATAAGACCACCAAAAAAGAACAGTACCAGGCAAGTGGCAAATTAACGCATGTGTTGATATTCTGCCTAACATGAGCACAGTATTTACCGTGCTTTTCTCCACACGTTGGGTACAAATGAGTAAAAAACTCGTCTGGATCCAACTGGGGCACAATCTAGTCACAACCGAGACAGGATAGTCTAGTTGGAGCTGGCCTCACCGGTGAGAGTGCAAAGATGTGAGCCTCACTGACCAGAGCCTCAATTCGGATGGTTTAAGAGGACCAGTTTGCAACTGGCATGCCGTTCGGGCAAGATAATACGCGTTCAGTCGGCAGGACCACGTTGGGAATGGGGAGGGTGGAAATTTTTGCCAGCATGAAAATTGGTGGAAATAAAAACAAAAGTTCCAAACAACCTTACAACTGCTGAGAGTTGACCGGTTTACACTCCGGAGCATGGCTGACGCAACAGTGATTCGGGTTACGGAGCACGGGGCTTGAGGTAGTTTTGAAGAATGAAAGTGATGAATAACATGAGAAGCGTATGATGGTGCACGTACTGTCCCATTTTTACTGTACTCATCAAAGCCCAGGAATTATTCGACTGGAACTAAACAGCTACGTGCCTGAAACGCAAGATCTCGGTGAAAAGTTGATTTCTGCAGCGCGGTCTATCGGATGATCCATCTTCCAGTATACTTCCAGCAAAACAGTTCGAGTAAATGATTTGTAGGTATCCTCTTTGCCCCTGGAAATGCTTACAACCGCTGGTGAAGCCGTGAAGAATAACGGTTCTGTTGGGTTCTTAGCAGAATGGTCAAACCCCTTGAGCAACGTACCTTAATCCAGGACTTTTTGGCCGGGTAAACCATTGTGGACCCAGATCTTCAGAGTTCACAATGAGGGCTTGTGCAAACAGACAAAAGTGAAGTGCTGAATTAAAACAACCCACACCGGAGCTTACGTCAGCATGAAAGACAAGAGGTGTTTGCTTCAACTGACGCACATGTTACTTCTCAAATCCCACAGAGACAGTTTATGTGAAAATACCAAGGCTAGGAGGGTATATCTTCAGGTGAGTAAATCACAAAACTTCGTTATATTCTACTGTTACGTTTAAAAGGTAGAGTCCATTTGATGCTACCGCCCTGAAAGTGTTTACATTGCTTCCCGTTGTCCGCAGTCCCAGTTCGAAGCACTCATATGCTTCTCTAAATTCCTACAAAAGACCATCATCGAGCTTCACGTGGTGGACTAAGTTGCAAGTAGCGCAATTACTACTTTTGGTGTATTGCCAAATCGTTCCACACTACATTCGTAACGTACTCAAACTTATCAAGGCTACATCGTAATGCCCACACTAGTTGAGTGTAGTGGCGAAAGTGACGTTTTTTTAGCCTGTTGTGGGCAAGGCAGAAATGATGTGAACATTATGAAAGCTTTGACCACCTTATCAAATATCGGGATATGAGGGCGAGATGGCTCAAGTGGTTTGAGCGGAAAGCACGTGGTTCGAACCCGACCTCTGCCTCTTGACTTCCCCTGTCTAGACTTGGGCAACCTGGCAGTATCCCAACCCTCGTGCTTCCCTCGGGTGGCATAGCAACTAGGCACCGGAAAGGCGTTACAGCTGAACTACCCTAAAATCGGGATAGCACAACAAAGGTTGGTGACACTAACATACAAGAGCGGATCGCGGACTCATTATACTATTGCATCTGGGCTATCATACTACGTATCTGTCCGGATAGCCGTTATTATCAGGAAAAACAATTCGAAGATGGCGGATTTGTTAGACCATCGCCCCGCACCATTCTTCAAGAAAGAAAAATTACCACTTTTAAGTTTTGGTACATGGTTTGTAGATGGAAACTGGGTAGACAGTCAACGAAGGGATCAAGTTAGTGACTGGAACCCTGTGGGTGGGATTCACGGTGCTATATCCGGAAGCCGCACGTCACACAGAGCACGTAACCGGGTCAGTAGCGTTTCCTCACCAAGACGGATTTAATGTGCACAGCATAGCACAATGCGAAAGGAAGGGTGGATAAATGATGCACTCATCCCGACACCAGCCAGGTCATGGAAATTACGTCAGCTGTTCGCATAATCTTTACTGCCAATGATCAACTGATGTCCTCTTGATCAGTCTACCGACAGCCTCTCATATGACAATGCCTGATGTTCAATTTCTGGGAGGACTTGAACTCAGCCCATCTACCAAGGTAGTAAGTAGCACAAGGTGAGTAAGGGTGGATATATTTATGTATAATATAATACATAAACTAATAAGAACAAGAATGAGAAATGATCACGCGCGAGCCATGCCAGGACCACAGTTTTGAAAGGAAAGCCTGTTTGTTTTGTTCGTCACTCGCGATGCTTCGTTTCTGGTTGGACTACTTGCACACACGCATACATCGCTGGTCTCATTCCAGCCAACCAATCTATGACAAGCGACAATTATGATGCGTGAACGAATACGTCACATACGATAGCCGTAAAACAACGCTGACAACAATGAGAAAGAAGTTTGGCGTGGTGGCTGCCAGTAAATTTCCGCCAGATGAACACATGGTAGAAGAGAAAGAATTCGAGTCTATCCGTTCGTGGCGGCAGCGGCGACCCGATTTTATGATCGCGAATGGGAAGCGAATTGAGAAAGACCTGTTTGGTTTGTGATTGCTTGCAAAATAACGAAAACGATGACTGCGGCAGTCCGGGGGGATGAGAACAATGAATAGGGAACAAGGCGGGGATGAAAACACATGAAAACAAACACGAGTACAAAATGCCGTAATTCGCTGAGGAACAGAGGGCGTCAGCTGTGCACTGGAGGTTACGCGGGGGGGGGGGGGGGGGGGCAAAAAAGAACATCCGACCATTCTACAAAGCCATATATGTATATATTATCAGCAAGATGAAAACGAAAAAGAAAAATCCGTTGGCGTCACGACTGATCGACCGAATCACTTGGATTAAGCGCCTAGTAATGGGTTTCTTCTTATTCTATATGAGCGACCCGAATAGTACCGACTGAACTGGATGTCACACGGTGTACATGTTCCCGCGAAGCATCATGAATGAATGTACTTGACCTGAGATGAGGTGGGAAAACTGGTGAAGATGGAAAATGTGATGCACGTGTAAAAAAAACAATCTCCCCGAGTGAAGTCACTTGCGCGGTGTGCTGGCTCGGACCCGAATGAACGGGCGCGCGCACACACACACACACACAAACAGACCTGATGGCGTATTCGTGCTGTCAGTTGGCAACGCGGGACCGGACCGGAAAGGACCACAAGATGCCAATAATCTAGTAGGAGCATACTTAGTAGCAGGGCCTTGGGAAATGAAGAAAATGGACAAGTGGATGGGGAGCACCGGGTAAATTACTTTTTCTTTTTTGTTTTTCGTGTAAATGTATGTGTGTGTGCGGGCGTCATTTCTGTCTACTACATTTGGCCAAAACAGGTACAACATTGGACAAAAATCGATGATGGTTTGTGTGTGTGTGTGTGGGGAGGACTTGAACTCAGCCCATCTACCAAGGTAGTAAGTAGCACAAGGTGAGTAAGGGTGGATATATTTATGTATAATATAATACATAAACTAATAAGAACAAGAATGAGAAATGATCACGCGCGAGCCATGCCAGGACCACAGTTTTGAAAGGAAAGCCTGTTTGTTTTGTTCGTCACTCGCGATGCTTCGTTTCTGGTTGGACTACTTGCACACACGCATACATCGCTGGTCTCATTCCAGCCAACCAATCTATGACAAGCGACAATTATGATGCGTGAACGAATACGTCACATACGATAGCCGTAAAACAACGCTGACAACAATGAGAAAGAAGTTTGGCGTGGTGGCTGCCAGTAAATTTCCGCCAGATGAACACATGGTAGAAGAGAAAGAATTCGAGTCTATCCGTTCGTGGCGGCAGCGGCGACCCGATTTTATGATCGCGAATGGGAAGCGAATTGAGAAAGACCTGTTTGGTTTGTGATTGCTTGCAAAATAACGAAAACGATGACTGCGGCAGTCCGGGGGGATGAGAACAATGAATAGGGAACAAGGCGGGGATGAAAACACATGAAAACAAACACGAGTACAAAATGCCGTAATTCGCTGAGGAACAGAGGGCGTCAGCTGTGCACTGGAGCTTACGCGGGGGGGAGTGGGGCAAAAAAGAACATCCGATCATTCTACAAAGCCATATATGTATATATTATCAGCAAGATGAAAACGAAAAAGAAAAATCCGTTGGCGTCACGACTGATCGACCGAATCACTTGGATTAAGCGCCTAGTAATGGGTTTCTTCTTATTCTATATGAGCGACCCGAATAGTACCGACTGAACTGGATGTCACACGGTGTACATGTTCCCGCGAAGCATCATGAATGAATGTACTTGACCTGAGATGAGGTGGGAAAACTGGTGAAGATGGAAAATGTGATGCACGTGTAAAAAAAACAATCTCCCCGAGTGAAGTCACTTGCGCGGTGTGCTGGCTCGGACCCGAATGAACGGGCGCGCGCACACACACACACACAAACAGACCTGATGGGTGATTCGTGCTGTCAGTTGGCAACGCGGGACCGGACCGGAAAGGACCACAAGATGCCAATAATCTAGTAGGAGCATACTTAGTAGCAGGGCCTTGGGAAATGAAGAAAATGGACAAGTGGATGGGGAGCACCGGGTAAATTACTTTTTCTTTTTTGTTTTTCGTGTAAATGTATGTGTGTGTGCGGGCGTCATTTCTGTCTACTACATTTGGCCAAAACAGGTACAACATTGGACAAAAATCGATGATGGTTTGTGTGTGTGTGTGTGCTGGAACCACTGTGTGGTAGTGGTGGCGGTGGTTGTGGCGATACATGAATGAGCTGGGAAGTATAACGACGACAATTGAGTGCGTTCGACTCATCAACTACATCCTCAACGAACAACATCCATTCCAGAAAGCGACGACGTGGCAGTGGCGGTCCTACGGCTCAAACAACAGTGGCAAAAGCCAATCGTCCTCGTCCGCCGGTCTGCAGGGATCAGCAAAAGAAAATAAACGGGGTCAGGAATACCAAACAAGCCAGAACGTGAAAACAGACAAATCTATGTTGAATGGTTCCCTCAACCAACAGCGATCTCCTTCGTGAAGTAGATAATCCTTTCGAACCCCTTCCCCACGGAGTGAATTAGGAGCAAGACGAGGTGCGGATGGCCAGAATGACCCAACAAGACAAAAGCGGAGTTGGAGCGACTGCTAGTTGTTGCTCGCAGGTTAATGTGAAATAGACTGCTATTACACATGACCCATGCGTAATAATTCAAACTGGAACCCGTAGCATCCTGACACAACGTGTTCGTATTCATCCCTTCTGCTACTGCTGTTCACAGCGTTGATATGGTTCAAAACTTGCCCCAGACTCTTTAGTAAAACAGCAGCAACACATTTCAAAGTCGTTGGTCTATGCTTTCAGCGACCCGAGCTGAAACGACTCAGCTTCACAATCGCTCCACCGAAGATTGGAACAATTTGTGATCTGTGACCCGCTATTAGGTCAGGCTGCGTAAAACCTATCGAGCGTGTGCTAGATTAAGTGGACCTGATGTGGAACATCTGCACAATGAGCAGCGATCATTCCGTGGACCAAAAATATCTATTGTGGGACCCCGCTTAATTGACAAGTAGCCTCACAGAACGCCATGAGACAAAACCTGACAAGGAGTGCTCACTTCCCAATATGGAACATTTTCAGAGTGATATCCAACTGAGCAGGTTACTGCGTCCGGACAAACAGGAATGCGCAGACTAGCAGACCAAAGTGGAAACATACTACTTGTGGAGGATAGTTAACAAGTCCATTCATAATAATATGAGGGTTAACTAGACAGACCCACCACGTCTACTTAGCAGCCCGTTATGTGCCGGTAGGTTTCAGTTGAACGGTAAAGACCTGTCTGTCCACTTTGGTGAGTAAAAATCATACCGTCAGGGAATAGCTCGAATGGAGCCTAATTAAGTTGTTCACCCGCCTGTGAGCTGTTCTTTCACTATATCAACGGTTGATCTAATAACTAACGTTTACGGATAAGTCAGATGCGACTAAACCAATTCTTACACCAATGTCGACATGTCGTTCAGCTGTAGCACCCTTTCGGTGCCTAGCTGCCATGCTACACGAAGGAGGCACGAGGGCTGGGATACTCTCAGGTCGCCCAAGCCTAGACAGGGGAAGTCGAGTGGCAGAGGTCGGGTTCGAACCACGGACCTTCCGGCCAGTAAATTCGCGCTCTAACCAGTGGGGAATTTCGCCCCCATGTCGACATGACTCCGTGGTGGAGAAGTAAGCTATTGACCCGAGGTCCATAGGTTCGATGTGACACTACACTGTTCACCAAAAGATGCACATTAACCATCGACCACTCGGATGGATGTGCAGGTCAGTCAGTAGCACGTTCGTCGACATCTGGTCGAACAATTTAGATAGCATTTCCAATGAATGTTCACCGCGACCTTGTCAGGCCAGACAACGGTTCCTTAGGCCTACTAAAGCGGGCCTGAAAGTGGCTCGGCCGATCGCCTTCTCACCGTACTTTCCAAAAGCACAGTGTGACCCAAGACAGCAAAAAAGTGAAAATTGGTTCCCGAGCACAAGTTGGGCTTAGTTATGTGCTTCGCTACTGTGCGTCTAATAGGGTTTTTAAACACGTGCAAAGAGAATCACAGGAACACAATCCGGAAGGCATCAATATCCCACAGCATCCAATTTGACTGCAGAGGCATTCGATTCGTGTTGCTGTTGTCATCTGTCATTCTCAGAGCCTCCCCACTCAGACTGATAGTTTTGAAATTCTCTCCGCTGTCGGGGCATAACCTCGCCTTTAGCCATTCCAACGCTATTACTATAACAGGTATTCACAATTTTCCCACTTCCAAAGTTTCGTCTCTCGTTTTTTCACTCCCAATCAGTTATCAGGTGAAAACCTTCCAGAAAGACACGTTTTGAGGCATTGCCAGTGTGCTTTTTCGACCTTGTATCATCTTAACTCATTCCACCTGTTTAATCCCAGCTGACTGTTTTACGTGTCACTCCGTTTTTTAACGTCCCGATGGGGTTCTATGTTGTTCTGTATGTTTGCTTTCGTAACAGGGGCCCTGGCCATCTACTTGGGGTATTCCTGTTTAGTGAGAAATAAACAAGATGGCTATGGTTAGGAATAGGTACAGCATTCCCGCATACGTACGATCTAGCAGGCAAAAAGCTATTTACGGTCGAGATATGCCATTGAGAAAGACCAGAAGAGCGAACAGTACTCACTCGTAATCTTCCGTGATGGTATCCAGGGGGGTAGGGCTTGAGTAACCGATGCGAAAAAGTGTGCGTCGGGAGAGATTCCAAACCAACGAACGACGGTTGCACGGCAGAGGGTCACGATAGTAGATCTCATATAACTCTTCAACCAATGCAGCTGCCTGGATCACATCCGCCCAATCGACCTGGATGAAATGTGCAAAACAACGAAGTCCTTAAGAAAACGTCACCAGGTATCGTAAATGTGAAAACATTTCGTGTGTGCGTGCGTAACGCTTACAACAGAATATTCGGCCCGGATGACGTGAAAAAACTCACGAGTCTATGCAGTAAAATTTGGTATTTCTCTGTCTGTGTGTGTGTGTGTAGGCGATTGTGGCATGGATCGAGTGGAAACCTGACTCATCAAGCCAGAAACTATGAGAACTGAACGTGTGGGTCTGTTTGCCTTTCAAATTTTTCTTACTAATGAATAAGACAACTGTGGGGATTATGCAGTCCCACAGGTTGACATGTAGACGTAACGGCGATGACAGTGGTTAAGCACTGGCTATCCGATTCGTATAATGTTAACGATATATGTATACATCATGTGTGTGTGTGTGTGCGTAAAATAGGCATTGAAACGCCTGCACCGGATCTTGTGAAGCGGCAATATATGACCGGTCAGACGCCAGCCATGATGTGACTGGAACTTCAGAGAGGGAATAAAGTCGTATAATTCAACCGGACGGATTAGATAAAACCCCGCTGCAACGGAACATTAGGTAATCGACATGTCAAACACAATATGGAATGACCGGAGTAGACTATGCTACTCGATGGAACATATTTCCTTTTACACTTGAAGATCACCTCAAGGGTTATTTGCACACCGGATGCAACTAGAGTGTGTCAATTTCAAGTCTGCATTGTTTTGCTGCTGGGGATGCAAGAAGAACCCCTGGTCTTTGTATGAAGTGCTTTGTTATGGTCCAAGTGCGCAAACACGACAACATGCACGCCATTGTGGTTGTATGGAACCTTCAGCACATTGTTTCAACACTGCATACATAGGTGGGCACAGAGGTGCAATCGTAAGCGCATACCAAATGCAGAATTTGCTAATGCAATATCTACATCTGTCCTTTTCAAATATAGCTACATACCACTGCTAATACATGCCTACTGTGGTGTTCCGTGCGCGCCTAGTTCTCGTACCGGTTTAGTAACTGTATTCATGTTGTTCATCTGCTTGTTTTCGAAGCGTCATCGGTTTTGCATAGCAAAATCGAGTATTTCGGCCTTCAATATGTATCTCCCCTCATGAAGTAACAGTCGTAAGCATGTGCATTGATCATATTCGCAGACCGAGTTTTTTTTATAGACTGAGTTCAAGAGAAGGAACTAAGTTAATTCGAGATTGAGAAACGACAGACTTTGCGCCGATCAAGTGCCTCGTCCGCTAGAAAACCATTGTAGGTTTGCCATTGGTCGTTTAGTTGTAACACCATTTCAATATCTAACTGCCATTCCACCCGAAAGAAGCACGGGGGCTGGGATACTGTCTGACGGGGTCCCCAAGCATAGGCTGGGGAAGTCCAGAGGCAGAGGTCGAGTTCAAACCACGGACCTTCCGGCCAGTAAATTCGCACGGACAATCTCACCATCACAGGTTTTCCGTTAATTGATATTTCTTTGAATAATGAGAGAAATCATGTTCTCGTTATGCTCCAATCTCCATCTCGATTGAGTTGACCCAATATTAGTTGACAAAACTTCAAGAGAGAATGACATCTCGTAATATAACGAATGGGATGAACGGTGTTATCGTTCTAGTACTATCGTTCTCGGGGAAGTGATTTGGCAGGTGAATGTACGAACTAGGGGCTCCATACAGCTACTCAATAAAAACGAATCCAACCAGCATCGTATTGGGCCTTGGTCTAGTTCGGTCTGCAACCCTTATATCGAGTGCTTGCATGAACACACTTCAGGCATCAATGCCTAAAGAGGCCCACAGTAACTGGGGTTTAGTCTTGATATCTGATTGGCTGCGTATAACCTTAATGCTGGGCCCCGGGCAGATACTGCTGTTCGCACAAGGAGCCATTACATACATCTGTTGCGCATGCGATTGCTACGTGTAGCGAAACGGAAAGAGATCAGCAAACAGATTAGACCATGCGTTCAATAGAGACCACACATATGTTTGCTATAAAGATTCCAGAATATGTCCTTCCAAATTATACATTTTCTGCCAAGTTTTCAGACTGACATGGTTTCATTATTAGGAATATTGCTATGTAGCCACGCACAACTACGCACTGATGTCAACTCGACTGGTGATGAAACGTTTGCAACCAAATTGTCCAGCTCAGCGAACAAGCCAACGACCAAAATGGCTATGATAGAAGGCATCGCTTAAGGACAGGAGCATCGCACTAGCAGGATGTACCGGGGGCCATTTGAACGTGTCTGTGAATACTTGCGAAATTTTGCAGACAGCTGTCAGCAAAACAGTCTAACACAAGCAGTCCTAAGGGGCCATCTAGCCTCACCAAAAGTAGAGCATAAATCACAAGTTTACCAAGCATCTGATCGGTTGCACTCAACTCGCTGTTGTAAATGAGTACCAGACATTTTGGTAGCTAAATGGGTAGTGTTGGTATATCACGATTAAAACATCCACATGTGCTCCATATTCGATCATATTTTGAAAAAAATACTTGATTCAGCCAAGTTGCGTGAATTTCTTTCAACTCAACAACAAGTGTGAACTCAGTAAGAGCTTCCGCAATCGCATGAACTCACCCCACACATAGTGGCCACAGGAACGAGTCCTTTGACCCCGGCATGCACTAGGATTCCAAGTGCCAAACACACTGGTCGAAAGCGGTAGACTTCGAGGGAGCAGAGTGCGATCTCCAACCGATTCATAAGACGCTTAATCAGTTGGGTTAACTGCATTCGCGAACCGTTGCCACCCTTTTCGATCGCTGTACCACCAGTCCCGCTCTTATTTGCTGAGGTCACGGAAGGTGTATCTTGCTCTGCATCAGGAGCAGCTTGGATTATGGTCTCGATGAAAGTCCGGAGGAAGTCAAACGCGTTCACGCCGTCTAAATCGTGTGAAAGTTTGGATGCTAAGATTTCTTCCATTCTGAGCAAATCCGCGGCATTCCCACCGCAACGGGTCACGTGAACCAGAGTATCAGGAGCCGGAAGATCAACACGCTTGAGCGAAAAAAATGGAAAATAGTTCACGATAGTCCAATGATGATAAAAGAATGGCAGATCAGGAAAACAAACCGGAATGAAGGGACTCGAATTCGAACGGAAACAAAAAAGGATTATTAAACCATGCAAGCACATTCGGCACTCGGTGTATCGACCATCGGTGGACAAAACATTAAAATCGATCACAAGATCGAGATGCTCGCTGCAGTATTCCTTCTTTGTCTTATTCAGTCGAACAAATAAAAAATTGTTCAGTTTCACATCACTCTTGTTTTGAACAAAATCCCCATATGCATCAAATAAAAAAATTGTCCAGCTGTAACAATCTTCTGGTGCCTGACTGCCATGCCACTCGAAGGAAACAGGAGGGCCGGGATCGGACCTTCCGTCAGTAAACTTGCCCTCTAACCACTTGGGCCATCTCGCTCTTTTTAGTCAAACATGAAATGTGAAAACTTGTTAAACCCCTTGTCAACCCTGCCATCAACACTGGTAGTGCCAGGAGGCATCGATGAAAGCTAAAACGCATTTACTCCGAGTATGGCGACAAGGAGGGGGCGTGATGGCCCAAGTGGTTAGAGCGCGAATTTACTGACCAGAAGGCTCGTGTTTTGAACCTGACCTCTGCCTCTCGACTTCCCCTGTCTAGGCTTGGGCAATCTATAGCAGTGTCCCAGCCCTCGTGCAACCTCCGTAATGCATGGTAGTTAGGCACCGAAAGGGTGCTACACCTGAACGATGGCGACAGGGAACTCCGTGCCCATAATCGAAATGAACAATAACCCGAACTCTGCTTTGCACATTAACAGCAAGTAAAGATATCAGGACCCAGGAAAACCAAGCCATGTTAGCTGGTTTAATAGTAAAAACCAACTTACCTCTTTGCTACTTCCATTGCACAACTTGCTCGCCGCACAGTAGGAAGCAGTAGCCACACAAGCCATGTATTTCGGTTTAACCTGAAAAAAGAACGAAAAGTCAGGTGTAATGAGTCAATAGTTAATAAGCCTCTTTCTACAGCTACGGTTTTTGGTTGGTTCCCTCAAAATCGTATTGCGGCATTTATAGGTTGGTTTTCTGTCTTTCTAGAATTAATAGTTACCTACAATAGGACGAGTCCCCGCTATCTGCGACACGCGTACACCGCAGAGACTGCTGGAGGAACCAACATTCCGTATCGATACATATTCAAATCCAGACAATTCCAGGAACATGTACTTTCAACCGTTCCCATGGGCAGTTCACGTTTAGCTTTTTCTACACTCTGCTATTTTATTCACCATTTTTAAGCCTGTCGTGTGTTAAATGCCAACCACCAGAGGGAGTCCATTGTTGACTGAGCAGCACTCGTCACTGTGCACGATTTGAATGACCAATACCACAGGAAGCAATGAGCAGTTGACATTTGCGTGGGCCCCCTCGTTCAAGAGCATT